GTCCGGCCGTTTATATACAACGGCTGGACGGGAGGTGGTTAAGGTGAACTCCAGACATATTTTAAAGACACAGAATTATGCTGTTTTGTATTATTATGTCTTCTTCTTCCGACTTCTTCTTTTTTTTTTTTATATAAGCAGTGTAAATACCGGACTTCAACTTGGCATCAGAAGCAGCACGAGAAGCCATGTACTAAAAAAGAACATGTTGATAATGGAAGTGAGCAGAGTGACAAAGTGTGTGCTGCTTCTCATTCACTGTCCAGTCACAGGCTGGATGTGTAGGAAAACACTTCAGTGCAGTAGATTATAAAAATAAATCAGGTCTCTGGCCTGCCAGGCATGAGCATGGCAGTGCTGTATAAATCTAAGTACTGGATGAACAGAAATATAAATCCTTGTCAGGAAGAACAGCTCCCTTATATGCATTCCATTGGTGTATTTTGCAGTTTGTATTTTAAGCCTTAAGCGTTAAGGTTGCCATTGACATTAGAGGGCTGTGAGACGTGCATGCACAAGTCTTTGTATAAGTGTTTAAAAGGGTGGCCACCCTATAAAGAATCTCTTGTGGCATTGTACCATATGGAAAACAAAAGCAATTGGAAAAGTTCTTTCTTTGTCTTCATTATAAGTGGGCACATTTAGTCTGCTTTGACTGATCTCTCACCAAGAACAGTGTGTATTGAAAAAAATCACTTAAAAGCAGACCTTCGCTTAAGAGTGAAAGTCCTGTTTATCCTCTCCTCAACTGTAATAATAATTGTGTTTTTATTTTTTTTCTGGAAGTGAGTACCTTTTTCTGACATGTACCCACTGCCATTTCCGCAATTCTCGCCTAGGTGAGAGTTACATCGGCTTTGCCTACCTGCCTCTGACCTGGAACACATCACAAATCCCAGGAGGCTCTGGGTCCAGTCTAAAAGTGTTGCGTGACCTTGTGTCTGTGCACTGTGGAGCCAACTGTGAGACATCAGGAAGTTACATCTTACTCCTACAACTTAGATAGCAGCACCAGGTATCTGAAGCCTGGCATTTGGGGTGAGGTTTTAATACTTGTAAAACGCTTTTAAATTGCTTAAAAACTGTGCATGGGGCTTTTGGGGGGCATTTTTAATGCTTGTAAAACACCAGTCTAACGCCCATACTAAAGCTCTTTAACGCCTGTCTAACGCCCACACTAATGCTATAGGATCATTTGTTTAGAGTTAGAAATTTAGTCAAGTGTGAAGAAGCCCTAATAGGAAGGAAGAGCAGAGTGAAGATAAGGTAATTAAAGCGGTGCTCCAC